ATATATATTTTTTTAAAAAAGTTATCCACAATACCTTTACCACACCTAAAAGGTGGAGGGTGCCTTGCTCCAATATGTAAAACTGCCTCCCCTGTTAAGATGAAAAGTCTGTTTACCCTTCAGATAAATGGAATCAACTAACACAGGTGGTCACTCCAATTTCTTTAAGTTAGGAGGCACTATATGTGACAAAAGATGCTATCAAGTTCTCTTACTGGAGGACTAGTTATCATTTATCTTGAAAACATCTACTGTCTTGCACCTTCTTGGCTATATAAATGAGTGAGATTTCTTTATCTTTGTAATCTTTTAGCAGATCGCCTGATTTAATGCTCATTCAATATAAACTGTTTTCTTTCTCTACTTCTTGGAGAGGTTTTCTCAGTTGGGGAGGTTTTTAAAAAATTATATTTCCCCAACACTGGGTATTTGATATTAACTTATTTTATGTGAGGTAAAGGTATTGTGGATAAGTTTTAAAGAATTCTTGTATTTTGGAGATAATGAAATATTTGCAGATGAAACAATATGATGTTTGTGATTTGCTTCAAAAGGTATGGAGGTAGAATGAAAAACATTCCTGTGTACTGATGATTGATGTTGGGTGATATATGTATTAAATTCATTATGCTACCATCTCTACTATTGTTATGTTTGAACACTTCCATAATAAAAAGAGAAGATGCATGGAAGCCAGCTGGCATACAGGTATGGAGCTGGGAGGGGAAACAAGTGCAGAAAATTACAGGCCAATATCTGATGAACACAGATGCAGAAATCTTCAACAAAATACTAGCAAATCGAATACAACAATACATTAAAAAGATAATGCATCATGATTAAGTGGGGTTCATTCCAGGGATGCAAGGATGATTCAACATATGCAAATCACTTAATGTAATACACACATTAACAAAATAAAAGATAAAAGTCACATGGTCTCATCAATAGATGTAGGAAAAGCATTTGACAAGATACAACACCCACTTATAATTAAAACACTCAATACAATGGGTATAGAAGGAAAGTACCTGAACATAATAAAGGCCATATATGACAAACCCTCAGCTAATATGCTCAATAGTGAAAAACTGAAAGCTTTTCCTCTAAGATCAGGAATAAGATAAGAATGCCCACTTGTGCCACTGTTATTCAACATAGTACTAGGAAGTCCTAGCCAGAGCAATTAGGCAAGAGAAAGAAAAAAAGGGCATCCAAATTGGGAATGAAGAAGTAAAACTGTCACTATTTTCAGATGACATGATTCTATATAGAGAAAACCCTAAAGACTCCACCCAAAAGATGATTAGAAGCAATAAACAAATACAATAAAGTTGCAAGATACAAAATCAATATACAAAAATCTTCTGGGTTCCTATATATTAACAATGAAATATTGGAAAAAGAAATGAAAAAAACAATCCTATTTGCAATAGCAACAAAAAGGGTAAACTATCTAGGAATAAAGGAAGGAAGTGAAGGACCTAGTCACTAAAAACGGTAAGACACTGTTGAAAGCAATTGAAGACACAAAAAAATCTATATATATAAAAGTGTAATATGCAAATTGACCAGACAGTGGAACGACTGGTCGGCTATGACACGCACTGACCACCAGGGGGCATACACTCGACATAGGAGCTGCCCCCAGCCCACAGGATCCAATCGCCTGATTGGGGCCTACAGGCCAACATCTTTACTTTTTTTAAAATATATTTTATTAATTTTTTTTGTTTTTTACAGAGAAGAAGGGAGAGGGATAGAGAGTTAGAAACATTGATGAGAGAGAAACATCGATCAGCTGCCTCCTGCACACCCCCTACTGGGGATGTGCCCGCAACCAAGGTACATGCCCTTGACCAGAATCAAACCTAGGACCTTTCAGTCCGCAGGCTGACGCTCTATCCACTGAGCCAAACCGGTTACGACCAGGCCAACATCTTAATCCCTCCCCCCCGGCTGGCAGGCTCCGATCACCCGATGGGGAATGGGGAACCAGGGGTGGGTGGCAGTGGACACGGGCAGTGCCGGGCCCTGATCATCCCACCAGTCCCCCCACACACAGAGGGCGACCAGTGGCGGGGCGGGGGGGGGGGGGGGAAGGGGGGGGCCCCTCCCAAAAAGGGGAAAAAAGCCCCCGATCCCCGGCCGGGGAAAGGGACCCCACCTGTGCATGAATTTTGTGCACCGGGCCTCTAGTGTAAATATATCTCCTGTTCATGAATTGGAAGAATTAACATAGTTAAAATGGAACCGAAGAACAAATGTCCTAAATTGGGACAAATAAATGGGAATAGATGTCCCAAATAGGTCAGGATAGCTCCCAAATGACTTCCTGAACTCCAGGACTCTTGGCCTGGTCACAGTGGCACATTAGATAATTGTGCCAGAGGCTGTCACCTCTTTTAAGTACCACAGGGAGGTCAAATTACCATAACTATAATGAGGGAGACCTTAAACTATTAACCTTAGTTTACAGCTATTTTCCCCCACACTCATTCTACTTCTGAAGAAAAAGGGGCAAATGACATGGCTGGCAGGGCTAACCAGAATCAGGAGCAGAGGCACTACACCCCTGCCATGGCCTCTTTCATTTCTCCTCTCAGGTTCTCTTTATATATTCAAATTAAGTGGTTACTTGAGAGAGGACCCACTGAGTGTGCCTCCCGAGCCTCACACCAGGTCAAATACATTTATTTATTCCAGAAAACAGGAAGTTTAACCATTGCCATGGCAACATTGATAGCCCTCGACATCAGAGCAGAAGGCAAAGAACAAAGGGATTTGTGAACGTTAACCTCTCCGTGGGTCTTTTCTCCCTTGAAACTCACCCATACTGCTTATTTGAAAGTGCTCGAAGAGCTTGAGTTTTTTTGGTACTATTTCTGAATAGAGCTTTGGAACTTCTCTGTACTTTACTCTAACATGTTCCTGGAGATTAGCCCAACCCCAGGCTGGAAATCTGCTGAGTGCCACAATCTTATTAATATGCAGTGAGATTCTATTTCTGACCACGCACCAGCAGTCTGGCTACCAATTGGGCTACCAATCAGCTACAAGGTAAGAATATAAATGATAAAACTAAAAATATTTTTTTTAATGAAAGGGAAACCCAAATAAATCAAAGCTTCACCATCACTTTAGGTTGAGAGTTTACAGAGGAAGCATTATGGTATTTAAGGGAGAACAGCTGCCCCAGGGTGGAGTGGAAAAATACCATGAGCTGGGACAGGAAAGGAGGTCTAAGGCTGAGGAGGAGAGGCTGCTACAAATGTGCCCCTCCCCCTCGTTCAGCAGCCTCAACTGAATACTGTCTCCTGTGTGAGAGGCTGAAAAAGGATTCTTGTCAAGAGTCTCAAGGCAGAATCCAGCAATGAGCAGGCAATTCGAGCAAGGCCAGGCCTAGTTTATCAGATGGGCTGCACAGGTTTATCCAGTATTAAAAAACAGTGATTGCCAGAGACTGCTTTTTTAAAAGGCAGAATGTGTATAGCTGATATAAAGGGACAGTATCCTCATTTATAAGAGAGAATAAAAACCTCCTCCATTAGGTAATGTGTGACACATTAACACTAAATCTTACCAATTTATCTTTCTTCTTTGGTGGTGAACTTGGAGAGTAAATAAAAGGATTAAGAAAGAGACCCTATTGCCCTAGCCCAGTGGTTCTCAACGTGTGGGTCACGACCCCTTTGGCGGTCGAATGACCCTTTCACAGGGGTCGCCTAAGACCATCCTGCATATCAGATATTTACATTAGGATTCATAACAGTAGCAACATTACAGTTATGAAGTAGCAACGAAAATAATTTTATGGTTGGGTCACAACATGAGGAACTGTATTTAAAGGGCCAGAAGGTTGAGAACCACTGTGCCAGTTTGGCTCAGTGAATAGAGTGTTGGCCTGTGGACTGAAGGGTGCTGGGTTGTAGGCTCCATCTCCAGTGTGGGGTGTGCAGGAGGCAGCCGATGAATGATTTTCTCTCATCATTGATGTTTCTGTCTGTCTCTCTCCCTCCCTTCCTCTCTGAAATCAATAAAATATATTTAAAAGAAAAGAAAGAGACCCTATTGCCCAGCCAGCATGGCTCAATGGTTGAGAGTTGACCTATGAACCAGGAGGTCACGGTTCGATTCCTGGTCGGGGCACATGCTCACCTAGATTCTGTATTACTATTATCAGGATCTATAGCTTCTTGCTGCCATGCCTTTTGCACTTACAACTCTGGAAAAGATATATGAATGGAGAAAATGGCCCCTAACATCCACTAGAAACACTCGGGTTGGCTATAAGGAAGAACCTTCCTACCATAAAGGTAATGGAATTTGATGTCCTATTACTAAAAAAAGGGTTCTCCATTACTACATAAATGGCATTTATCGCTGAGTTCCATTGACTTCTGCTCCTGTAAATTTTGAGTGCCATATAAGAATGCTACTTTACTTTTGATTACCTGGGGTGTTTGTGAAAAGCACTTGTTTGGGTCCTACCTCAGTGCCAATAAATCAGACTCTTCCATGGAGGAGCCTAGGAATCAGTATTTTTAACAAATAGCCCAAGTGATTTTCATAATCAGGAAAGTTTGGAAAACACTAATCTAAGGCTCTGCTTATAGTAATATAAAGCTATTAATCCTCGGGAAGAAATGGATGATTCAAAGAGGGAAACTGGCTAGACAGATGAGTCATACGCACCTCATGAGTGAGTTAGGAAAGTCAGAATTTTAGGGGGAAAGACTGACTGTATAGAGTTGGAGCTAGCATTCTTAGCACCACTTTGTAGTCATTAGCGGCTTGTTCCAGGCCCTGCCTCTCTACCTCCTTGCCTTCCACACACACTTTTTATTGCAACAAGACTTTGCCTGAAGACTCTGATAGATCTTAAACTGCAGGTGGAATCCAATAGCAGACGAGAGACACTTCCCAAGTCCCTGCATGTGAGAGAGAAGACTGAACGGTCTGTTACCTCCCTGCACAGACATCTCAGATCCCCTACTTACCCAAATTGGAGAGCCTTTTCATCAAGCCAGCTTCTCTGATAGCAGCAGGACCATGTTCCACTCCTTTTCTTTTCTGTCACACAAATTACACAATGAGATGCGAGGGGAGATGATTGAAAAGAAGACAACTATAGTTCACAAAAATAGAGACATCTGCTATGCTATACGGGATGTATCCACAAGGAATGTATTCCAAGAGACCCCCATGGATGCCTGAAATCGCAGATAGTACCGGACCCTATGATAAAGTTTAATTTATAAATTAGGCACAATAACAGATTAACAACAATAACTAATAATAAAATAATTATAACAATAAAATAAGGGTTAGCTGAGCACGCAGTGCTGTATCTCAACGTGATAACTAAGAAGGCTAAGTGACTAACCCATGGGTGGTGCCTACAGCATGAACGCACCGGACAAAGGATCCTGGACAGGACAGAGCAGGACTGCTTGAGGTTCATCACAGCTGCTCGCAATAAGGTGCAATTGAAAACTTGTGAATTGCTTATTTCTAGAATTTCAATTTGACATTTTCAGACCTCAGTTGATAGTGGGGTCACTGAAATATTGGAAAGGGAAACCAAGGGAGGACGACTGATCTTAGTTCCCAATAGAACCCTCCCCAACCCTGACATTCTCAGTATTTTCACCCGAGGTCTGGTTATTTCACACACTTGCAGGGAAGGAGGGGAAAACAACAATCACTGGAATCAAATTAACCTTCCAAGCCCCATGTGTGAAGGTCGAGCGGGAGCCAAGACAGGCTGAGCCAGGTGAGGATCTGGTGGTTGGTGTACGTGGCTGGCAGGGGCCAGGCCCCTGGCTTCTCTACCAGTGAGCTCCCAGGGCTGCGGGTTTCTTTCACGAAGAGAGAACAAACAGCCCCTCCCGTCCTGCCGACGCTAGAGCGGCCAGCGCCAATTTCCTTCCCAGTTTAATGCTCTGAGAACGAATCCTGAATTCTTAGAAATCGCTCCCTTTCGCCTCCACTCTCTATTTTACACAGCGGATTCCTGCCGGTTTCTCCTCCTCCAGCCCCTCCACGGACTCCTCTCCCTCCTTTCCGCTCCTCCATCACCCTCAGCGCGACCCACCACTTCCTCGCTCCGCCCGGGGAGGCCGCGGAAACCCGCCAGCTCGGAGCCCACCGCCGAATCGCACACAGGGTTCCCTCCATCCCCTCCCTCCTTCCCTGTTTTCTAGGGGGGAAAAGTCCCACGTGCTCTCCCGGTGCCCAATCGCCGGGACCACCAGGTTTTCCCCATCCTCTCCTCGATTCTTCGAACCCCTACCCCCCACCCCCTCCGCTTTCTCTGGTTCTAGCGGGCGGAGACCCCGTTCCCCGGTGCCAGGTCCTAGTTCTCACCTGTCCCCGTGAGAACGGGGCTCCGATCACAGCCACCGAGTGGACAGACTTTTTCAGAACGAAATGCACTTGCGTCCGGAGACGCGAGAGGCTGCAGCTTAAGGACATGATGGGCAGCGCGGAACGTTGCCAAGCGACCGGCTGCTCCGTGCGCTTCGCCGCCTGAAGTGAGCGCCGCCGCCGGCAGCTGCGCTTACCTCCTGGTGCGCGAGCCGCACCGCGCAGCCCCGAGACGTCACGGCCCCGCCCCGACCCCGCGGGTCGGGCCCCCAACCAGCCTCCCGCACACCTTCCGGCAGGCCCCGCCCACTGCCCCCTGATGTCACCCCACCACCGAGCCGGCTCTCCATCCAGGGAGCCCCAGAGGCTGACACCCTGAAACCAATGATCAGGGGCTGGCCATTAAGAGCTGGTTACAACAGGTGTGTCCCTCCGTGGGCAGCGGCCAGTCCTCGCTGATCAAGGAAAAGGGATGGCTAGGCTGAGACTGCTCTCACCCGACCCTCAGGGAGTGCCCTGCCAAGACCAAGCCTGCATCCACCTGCTCCGGTCCATCTCAGAGCTCAAGGTCCAAAAAACGCGCTTACCTTTGGGAACTGAAGGCTAGGAGATCAAATCTAGATCAGAGCTCTCTGGGCCAGGCATATTAATAAAATCCCACCTAGTTTAGGTGTTTCGGATGGGGAGCTTAGGATTTACAATTACTTTCCAGATGTTTTCAATTCTTTACCTGAATAATGAGAACACTGGTTATTAAAAACCAAACACAGCAACATATTTGAACTAGCTGAAAGTAACAATTAACTAGAGTATTAGTAATCGATAATAATAAATTAGACCGGACTTCCTTCTGGAGGAAGCCCAGGTCCCGGGTGCCAGAGGGAAGCCAGTGCCCGCAGCCGGGGGAAGAAAGGCCTACTCTTGTGTGAATTTCGTGCCTCCGGCCTCTAGTATTTTAATAATAATAATAACCAACAGTTTCTTTTTTTTTTTCTTTAAGTATATTTTTATTGATTTTTTACAGAGGAAGGGAGAGGGATAGTTAGAAACATAAATGAGAGAGAAACATCGATCAAGCCTGCGACCAAGGTACATGCCCTTGACTGGAATCGAACCCGGGACCCTTTAGTCCTCAGGCCGAGGCTCCATCCACTGAGCCAAACCAAACCGGTTAGGGCAGTAACCAACAAAGTTTCTTAGAACTTTTAGCCCTCTAACAATTCCATAAAGTATGGTAGCCCCCCTTATCCTTGGCTTGCCCAAGTTTCAGTTAACCACGGTACAAAAAGATTAAATGGAAAATTTAATGAGTTCTAAATTGCATGTCATTCTGAGTTATTGACGAAATCTCCACCGTCCTCCTCCATCCTAGCTGGGCTGTGAATCACCCCTTCGTCCACTCCAGCATATCCACAGATGCATGATACCCATTCATCAGTCACTTAGTAGCCCTCTTGATATCAGATCAACTGGTCCTTATTGCATCATCACAGTGCTTGAGTTGGAGTTACCCTTGTTTTACTCAGTAATGGCCTCAAGTGCAAGAGTAATGATGCTGGCAATTCAAATATGCCAAAGAGAAGCTGTAGAGTGCTTCCTTTAAGTGACAGTTGAGTATGTATAGGGGGTCTTGAAAAATGTCCCCGGGGATAAAAGGGGACTACTATAGGGATTATTTTAAATTCAAGGAATCGGGATCAGAGAAAATAAGTAACTTTCCCGAAGTCACATAGCTTGGAAGTGGCAGAGCTCTGTGACTCCAGATTCTAAATTCTTAACTGTGTCACCACAGCTTGTAAGATTCTGGATGTTAGTCCTACCAAAATAATTTTTAATTGATTTTTAGAGAGAAGGGTGTTAATGTAAATACCTGAAAAATATTTCCTGATGCCAAGTTACATGCTGCTTTCCAAATTATTTCAGAGGTCTCCATGGCAACATCATAACTCCAAGCAGCTGTAGTAATGTACTAGTAAGGCAGCATATTTAGTTTTAGAGGATAAATTTTATTCGTCTCCCCCTGCTGGTTTAACAAAGAAATGTCTTTGAAGCCTTAGCAAAATAAATTGGGTATTACTGTTAGGCAATGTTGTTGAAAGTACGGTCCCAGACCAGTAGCATCAACATTTGCACACTTGTCAGAAATGCAAATTATTGGGCCCTACCCCAAGCTTACTTAGTTACTCTGGGGATGGGGAACCAGCAACCTAAATTTTAAGAAGTTCTCCAGGGTGGGGAGATGTAGGGAACAGTAGAGATGCCGTCAGGGATTCGGTCACTGTTACTGCCACACTTGCTCAGATCCTTGGAATTATTTTGGTACCTTTCTCTTGCCCATCACCACATCCAATTTCTCCCCTTTCCTATGTTTTCTGAAGTTAGTACTGGCACAGACTACCTCAGTATCTCCTGGACTATTGCAAAAACCTCTTTTTGAGCACTTACTGGGAGTCACCAGATTGACCATTCTAAATCAATCCTGCATGTCACTTTCAGTGGCTTTCCACTGCCCATGGTTTATTAAGAGGTAAATTACTAATTCCTCATTATTATGCATCAGGGGAATGAATAGTAAATTACTAATTCCTCATTATTATGCATCAGTGTGAGAGTAAAGGAGAAACACAAGAGGAAGACTGAGTTTTTCCTAAAATATTTGTGTATAAAATGTAATACCTAGAGCAACCATTCAAAAAGCTACATAAAGAGATACTCCCAAACACTCTATAGATAAATCAAATTGGAATTCTAAACAAGGAAAGATAAAATATGTTATACTCATCTTTTTATGCAAAGTAAATTAATTTACTGATCAATTTCACTAAATTGCAACAAGTTTTTTTTAAAATTAAATCTTTATTGTTCAGATTATTACATTAGTTACTCTTTTTTCCCACCATAACTCCCCTCCAGCCAGTTCCCACCCCACCCTCCGCCCTCACTCCCCACCCACTGTCCTAATCCATAGGTGCACAATTATTGTCCAATCTCTTCCCTCACCTCCCACACCCCTTCCCGCCCCCCCCCCAAGAATAGTCAGTCCATTCCCTTTCTATGTCCCTGATTCTATTACAATCACCAGTTCATACTGTTCATCAGAATATTTATTCACTTGATTTTTAGATTCATTTGTTGATAGATGTGTATTTGTTGTTCATAATTTGTATCTTTACCCTTTTCTTCTTCTTCCTCGTCTTAAAGGATACCTTTCAGCATTTCATATAATACTGGTTTGGTGGTGATGAACTCCTTTAGCTTTTTCTTATCTGTGAAGCTCTTTATCTGACCTTCACTTCTGAATGATAGCTTTGCTGGATAAAGTAGTCTTGGTTGTAGGTTCTTGGTATTCATCACTTTGAATATTTCTTGCCACTCCCTTCTGGCCTGCAAAGTTTCTGTTGAGAAATCAGCTGACAGTCATATGGGTACTCCCTTGTACGTAACTGATTTTCTTTCTCTTGCTGCTTTTAGGATTCTCTCTTTGTCTTTTGCTCTTGGCATTTTAATTATGATGTGTCTTGGTGTGGTCCTCTTTGGATTCCTTTTGTTTGGGGTTCTCTGTGCTTCCTGGACTTGGAAGTCTATTTCTTTCACCAGGTAGGGGAAGTTTTCTGTCATTATTTCTTCAAATAGGTTTTCAATATCTTGCTCTCTCTCTTCTTCTGGCACCCCTATAATTTGGATGTTGATACGCTTGAAGCTGTCCCAGAGGCTCCTTACACTATCTTCGTATTTTTGGATTCTTTTTTCATTTTGCTTTTCCAGTTGGGTGTTTTTTGCTTCTTCGTATTTCAAATCTTTGACTTGATTCTTGCGATCCTCTGGTCTGCTGTTGGGAGTCTGTATAATATTCTTTATTTCAGTCAGTGTATGCTTAATTCCTAGTTGGTTCTTTATCACAACATCAAGGGTCTCACTAGATTTCTTTTTTTTTTAATTAAATCTTTATTGTTCAGATTACATTTGTTCCTCTTTTTTTTGGCTTGATTCTTGCGCTCCTCTGGTCTGCTATTGGGTATAATATTCTTTATTTCAGTCCGTGTATGCTTAATTTCTAGTTTCTTTTTTCTTTTTTTTTTTAAATATATTTTTATTGATTTTTCACAGAGAGGAAGGGAGAGAGATAGAGAGTTAGAAACATCGATGAGAGAGAAACATCGACCAGCTGCCTCCCGCACATCTCCCACTGGGGATGTGCCCGCAACCCAGGTACATGCCCTTGACCGGAATCGAACCCGGGACCCTTCAGTCCGCAGGCCGACGCTCTATCCACTGAGCCAAACCGGTTTTGGCAATTTCTAGTTTCTTTATCGTAGCATCGAGGGTCTCATTAGTTTTTGTGAGGCTCTCCACAAGTTTATTGCAAGCCCTCAAAATTGCGTTTTTTAGCTCCATATCCTCCATTTCTGTCATGTTTTTTTGTCTCCGCATTTTTTATGCTTTCTTGGTGCACCCCCTTGTGGTCTTTGTGCGCAGTCTTGTTCTAGTTAAGCCTTGATTTTTTTAGTTAATACTGAGGGATTTGACCACCAGGCCGACTGGCTGTGCCATCAGCTGTGTGGAAAACTTCTGTCCTCTGGGGAGGTGCTAATCTAGCCTTTGCCTGAGGCTATCCGGCAAATGGCTCTGCGCAGGGCTTTGGCGGGGCGGGATCAACAGGGCGGTGGAGGGAGCAGTTATGGCTGCTCTCAGTCCCGTTCCTA